TAGATACTTACACAAGTCAGTTGTAATGGTACGTGACTCAGTCATGGACTGTTCAATCTGTTCTGAACACAAATAAAAAAGATTGACCGGTCAGTTTAATGTGAAAATGGTGCTGTTGATAATAAACTGACTGATCAATTTATTTAGAGCGTGCGTAAAACAACAGATCAGTCTGTTTTGAACTGATTGACCCGTCAGTCTATTCTAGTAACCGATATATGCAGAATAGACTGACGGGTCAGACTATTCTGAATAGTCTGAAAGGTCAGTCTATTCTGCTAATCAATATAGTCAGAATAGACTGACCAGTGATTAATTTCGCGTATATTGTTGAATGGCTACAGAACGGAGTGCTGATGAAATAACCCGGCAAGCTAATTGGATTTCGCACACGTACGTGATCCTTCCGGTTGTGATGGGCGACCACTGGAGCTTTGTGGTAGTTGAGCGCCCCCTTTCCAGCGAAAGCACCGTCATATACCACGTGAATTCATTGCGGGGTGGTCATGAGCCAGACTATATTTTTGCTGTGATCGAATGGTTTCTAGTTAATGCCATAGCATCTGATACCAGCGGCACTACTGCAACAACCACATACAACTACGTCACGAAGCCTCGTCAGGCTAACGCTGTCGACTGTGCAGTGTACGCACTTCACTACATGCATGCCGCAATGAAGTTTATTATCAAGCATCGTCCAGAGTCGCTTCTCGAGCACATGCCGTCGCTGACGACGAGCATATTCAACGTAAAGAAGGCTTCGGCCTCGCGAGCCAAAATCCTCTCGACACTAACGAGCTTGCAAGCGCAATAATCATCACGAAGTGAATGTTGTAGTTTTTATGCTTTAATACATGTTCTTGCGTTACATTCTTTCCAGCACGCAGCTGTTAGAATGGAATGCACGACACTGTCAAGAAGATATAGCCGTGTCGTGACCTCTCAGTCCGTATATAAGTGGGGTCGCGGGCGTTCGAAATATTACGATTTTTGTATCAGACGCGGTCAGACACCCCCCGTGAGATACCCCCTCGGTATCTCCCGACGAGACGGACGGCGTCTTTCGATCGAAACCCTAGGTCTGAAGGTATTGGACAAAGTAGCTGCGAAATACTTGAGGTATTTAATTTTGTATCTCTATAGATAAATCCTATGGTAAAATACCTCTAGCAACCAATTCTTTTCGCCAACTCACCAGTCTCTGATCGACAGCGAGCACTCGCAGCCCCCCCCGTAGAGATTGTTTCGAAGCGTCTAAATGGACGAGTACGCGCGTGATGATATTGCGAATTCTCAAGAAATTCATCAAGTGGTGACAGACATTATCACAGACCACGCCGCTGCGCGCCCTTCCAACACCGTTAAGCAGTACGCTCCAAAACAAGCCGAGTTTAAAACGTAGTGTGCAGGTAAAAAGTATTTGGATGGCTGTATTGTCACTGAAGGGAAACTAGTTACGTTTTTGAAGACGCACGTCCTCGTGGTAACAAGCGCCAGAAAACCAAAGCTGGTGATGCTAAAGCTCTCAGTTTAGCTGGCGTTGAAGCTTATGCCAAAGCTGTGATAGGTCTGTACAAGTTGCAGCAGGCTCTACTTCTAAATAGCCATCCACATCCACGTGGGAAGACCTATCACGATCTTTTCGACACGCTGAAGCGGTCGGAAACTGAGCGCAAGCGAAAAAACTACGCAGATCGAGCGCTGGGTACCGTTCTTGATGGATATAATGTCGAAGACATGGTTCAACTCACTGACTATTGGTTGTCTCAAAACGACGGTGTTTCTTTGCGTGATCGTGTGGATTTCTTTTTGGGGCATGCACTTCTTGCACGGGGCGAGAGTCGCCGTTTTATTGAATTCCCTGATATGTTGACACTGGAGCTACCGGATGAAGGCTCGCAAACGTGCACGCCTTGTGATCATCATGAATCGAGGCAAAACTAATCAGCATGGCCGCATCGAGTACGGGGAAGCCATGCGATGTAAGAACGTGAATGTGTGCCCATTGAATGCTGTAGCGCTCCATCTTTTTTGGCGCTGGCAAATTGATTGTGAGCCATTTCCCGATTTTACATGCCGCGAAAGGTGGTACGATATCCACCTCATTAATGGTGGTGACAGAACGAAGGAGATTTCGTACAACACCCAGTTAAATCGTATCAAGCGAGCTTTCGCAGCGTGCGGGATCGATTCAACCGTTTGAACACATGCTAATCGAGGATCGGGGGCGAAATTGGCGGAAACATTTGGTGCTAGTGAAGAACAAATTCGGCGTCTTGGGAGGTGGAATGCAGCGCGGATGGAAGGATGCTATCTTACATCCCTACCTAAAAAGGCTATGCGAGCCTTGGCTGGATATCCGACAAAGGGTGGCGGCTACTGGCTGCAGCGAGGTTCTGCTACTCCAAGCGCTGAGTTACAACAATTGGTTTACCCTGAGGTTGAGGCCGCAGTTAAACAACTGGCTCAAAGCTCGACGCGTGAAATTGCTGGAGCTGCCTTCATTCAAATGCTCCGTCACATGCGAGTGGTCTTTCTCCAAGACTCTGTGGTGCTGCGGCGGCATTATCCCAATCATCAATTGTGGAAGCACAGTTTGTTTTCCACTGCAGAGTACGCATCCTTTGATCAGGAACTCTATTCGTTGATACCAGCGATTACACAGCCTGAAACAAAATCGCTTGCAGTTGTAGTGCCTCAAATTGCGGACGTGCTGAAGAACGGAATGGAATCTCTACACGGCAAGCTGGATGCGCTAGCAGCGGGGATAGATACACTAAAGGCTCTCTCAAACAAACGGCTTGTACTCAGCTGGGAAGACAGCACCTCAGGTCATGATCCGCTGCAGTCAGCAGTAACGCAGCCGCCCTTTACATCATGTGCAATTCCGCAGTCACTTCAACCTCGTAATCCAAAGCTGAGCAGATCAATCTCGACGGTTGTGGACTTGTGGAAAGAGTACTCTGTGGGGCTTGCAGGAAACATGTCAATTTCGGAGGTAAATGAGAAGCTCGGGTCTAAATGGCGGAAAGACCCGACAGAAGCTCGCTTCTATCTCCGGCGCAAAAAATACTATGATGCCATCGCAAAGACAGCTACTACGCATAACATTTCTCCAAACGAGGCGACGGAAAAACTTGAGTTGGCGCGGAAGGGTGACAATTTGTCCCTTAACGCATTCAGCAAGAGGCTAAATACTTACACAAGTCAGTTGTAATGGTACGTGACTTAGACATCGACTGTTCAATCTGTTCTGAACACAAATAAAAAAGATTGACCGGTCAGTTTAATGTGAAAATGGTGCTGTTGATAATAAACTGACTGATCAATTTATTTAGAGCGTGCGTAAAACAACAGATCAGTCTGTTTTGAACTGATTGACCCGTCAGTCTATTCTAGTAACCGATATATTCAGAATAGACTGACGGGTCAGACTATTCTGAATAGTCTGAAAGGTCAGTCTATTCTGCTAATCAATATAGTCAGAATAGACTGACCAGTGATTAATTTCGCGTATATAGATGAATGGCTACAGATCGAAGTGCTGATGTAAATACCCGGCTAGCTAATTGGATATCGCACTCGATCGATATCCATCCGGATGTATAGATCGACCTCTGTAGCTATGTGTA